TCAGGTCAGCAGTTCAACCAACTTGCAGGTCAACAGTTCAGCAGCACAAGGGTTTAACCCATTGTGAATACCGCGCCTCCTTGTTTCCTGTTGATTGCTTCCAGGCAGTGAGGTCAATTGACCCCCTCCTTTCAATCTTTTAGCAGTAAGATTTAAAACATGGTAGGCCTTTGGAGACTACTTAAGACTGTACTGTACTGCCAATATATTTTGAGGTTTTTTTAACAGCTATGTTTGCAAATTGGATTTAACGTGATGGATAGTTTAATGGTGTTTAAACTTCTGTTTGATGAAATTGTTTTGTTTTGTTTCTTTTAACTGCTGTTAAACAACTGTAAGTCCCAGGGTGCTTCCAGACTTCACACCAAAGTGGGCTTTTAAAACCTGCTTTGGTGTTCATTTCTGTCTCATCTCCCAACCCCCCAAACCCAGGCTTTCCCCTTGGGTGTCCCCATGCCAGCATAACTACCATGCTAGAATGGGTCCACCCTAAAAATGGGACCACCCTAAAACCCTCAAAAGGCCCTTAAAAAACTTACCAGGCCGTCATAGTGCCTCTCTGGAAGGCCTCCTAATTTGTAGAAATGACGCACCAGGAGGTGTGTGTGTGCACGTGTGTGTGTGTGGGGGGGGGGGGGGGGGGGGGGGGTGGGGGGGGGGGTGGACACCATCTTTTATCTTTGGGCTTCAGGAGGTGGGTGTGGTGACTGATCCCCGGGAGTACCCGTGAGTCAGTTCCCACAGGCTCTTTCAGGAAGGCACGGGTCTAATGGGGTATCTAATGAATTCAGGACAAAGCAGGGTCCTGCATTTTAGGCCCTATCTGGAAGGGCCTCCAGACTGGGAGGAAAATGAGATGATGATGTTGATAACGACATGCAGTATTCAATCCATCATGGATAGCAATCTGATTTCTGGAAACTTAAATTGCTACTGTTTCAGTTGTCTGATCAGCAGACGTCTTAAGTGCTGCTCTAGAAAGGTTCACAGTCTGTATAGGACTTAGATTTATATCCTTCAAGATACAGAAATGCAAAAACAAATAGGTCAAATATCGTATTCCTAGAAAAGTCAGAATGTGCAAAGTATCTGAATTACTATCTTCAACTTGCTTTGTCATTGTATATAATGGGAGTTGAACATCCATGGAATTTGGTAGTCCTGGAGGGGTCTTAGAGCCAAACCCCAGCAGATACTGAGAGCACATTTGTATTTCCATAATCTCACTTGTAGCTAGTTGCTAGGAAATATTTATTCCCAAAGGTGCAGTGAGATAATTTGTGGAAGTCAAAGATTCAGTTCATAACAAATAGGCAATCTATTTTGAGGTACGCGGGACAGCTTACTGCTGGTATTTCCAAAGTACAGCTGGCCTTTGTGTATATTTGGATTCTGTATCCACAAATTCAGCCATCCACAGCTTGAATATTCTTTAAAATATTCCTCAAAAGTAATCCTTGATTTTGCCATTGCATGTAAGTGACATTATTGCATTATGCCATTGTATAGAATGGGAATTGAGTATCCACAGATTTTGGTATCCACAAGGGGCCCTGGAACCAAACCCCGGTAGAAACCAAAGAGCTCATTGTATAACTTGACCTAAAAATACAAGAGCAAAGTAGCCGTGCATTCAGTGGCTGCAATAAATAACGGACCAGCAGGGGGAAGACCATTCACAACAGAAAGGCTACATTACTATGCTAACTTTCTAGTCACAGAGTCAAGTTCAAGCTTAGATATTTTCTGCATGCTTTGACTCGGGCATAGCCAATTCAAGCAGTAAACACTGACTACCTATATCAGGAATTGACAACCTATATCAGGAGGAAGCACAGTATGAAAATGCACTGGGTGTGTTTAAACCAGAGGCCAGCAAAATACAGTCGTGAGGCCATAAGGCTGTTTTTGTAGCTCTCAACCCATCCAGATTCCCTAAGTTCATTCTTTTTCTGATCACTGTCTGTGAGAGTGAAATGCCTCTCACAGACGGCTTTGGCAGAAACAATCTGCCTTTACATTGATTGCAAGACAACCCCAACAAACCACTCCCCTATTAAAGCAGCTTCATGGGCTTACGATTAGTTTCCAGGCTAAATTCAAAATGAAAGCTATCATCTATAAAGCCCTATATGCTTTGGGTCCAACCTGTCTTTGAGACCACATCTCCTTCTATGAAATGGTGCAGGCTGTGAAATATGCCTGGGAGGCCCTCCTCTCGGTCCCACCACCATCCCAAGTACGGTTGGTGGGGATGGGAGAGAGGGCCTTTTCGGTGGTAGCTACCCGACTCTGGAATGCCTTCCGTAGAGAGATTAGATTAGCTCCCACTCTCAAGACTTTTTGGTCTACCTGGAAAACATGGCTTTTTAAACAGGCCTTTGACCTTGAGTAATCTCCAATTTTATCCACTGGCACTACTGCATTTTATAAATTTTAAAATTGTATTATGTGATGTTATGTGCGCTCGATGTGTTTGCGGTTGTATTTTATATTATTGCTTTTGTGCTTATGTATTATTTATTTTATGTGTGGCACTCTGGGGTGCTTTTGTGAGCCACCCTGAGTTCTTTTGGGGAGATGGTGGCGGGGTATAAATAAAGTTTATTATTATTATATTATATTGTTTTTACACTTCTCATTTTAAAACCAAGTTCAAATACCTTGTAAATCTGGATTTACCTGTTTGCATGGTGATGGCTTATCTTCAAAGTGTGTTGAAAAGATCAGAAGCAAAGTAGTCTATATAACACCAAAGGAAAGCTGCTGTAATTTTGATTTTAAAAAGTTCACCAATTCCAGCTTAGTAATTGAAATTACTTTTATTACAATAATCCATTTATTTTAAGAAATACAGCTTGAAGGTTTTGGTACACTGAGCAATTAAAACTTGTGACGCTTCCTAATTCCTTTAAACTGTAAAACATTTCAAGTGTTTACAAGCCAATAGTTAAACAAGATTGTGTGAATTCAATAAATAGTAACATCTGGTCCAGTTCAAGTACGGATCAACAGATCACAGACTTAATAGAAATAGAAAAAAACCCTGAAAACCTGATACTAAACACTAGTGTGCAGGTCTGTAGCGAGATTTGTCAAGTTTTATTGGGCATCTTAGTTTTCTAGTTTTAAAATGAAAAAAAATAATACATGTGGTATTAATATCCATTAATAGGCTGAGACAAGTAAGAAAATAATAAAAGTTCTAAAGACATTAAAATCTTATGCTGCTTTGCAATAATTTATAAATAATAAAGCTTTTTTTACACAACAATAAATAGGTTTCAGTTACATTTCAGAGTGCTGTGTGCTATACATATATATTTGTCAATACAAATTGCACATGTGAAAAGTTAAGGCAGGTGGCATTTTTTCCCCATAAGATTCAGATTTTGGACACAGGAATTCCAAAACAAGGCAGCCCATTGTTTTTGGGAAAGCTGTGTTTGTTTTAAAAGACAGCTAATGCATTTTATCTCCCAGCAGGATTCACATTCTTCATTGGAAATTTTCAGTCTGAATATTTTCACTTAAGATCTACTCCATTTATTACAGCAACAGAAAAGTTGCTGAACAGACTATTTTGTAACTACAGAAGGCTGAATATGTGTATTGTTAAAGGCTTTCAAGGCTGGAATCACTGGGTTGCTGTATGGCCATATTCCAGAAGCATTCTCTCCTGACGTTTCTCCTGCTTCTGTGGCAGGCATTCTCAGAGGTCATGAGACCTCACAACCTCTGAGGATGCCTGCCACAGATGCAGGCAAAACCTCAGGAGAGAATGCTTCTGGAACATGGCCATACAGCAACCCAGTGATTCCGGCCTTGAAAGCCTTCAACAATACACATACAGCCCAAAAAAACTCACAACAACCCAGTTGAATATGTGCTTCTGACCATTAGCAATAAACCTTATTATTTACTGTTTTAGGTGTTATAATTTTCCACATTATTTTGTGGGCCTTCAAAGTCAATTCATTGCTTTTGAAAGCTGTTTGTTACTTAGGCTAAAAGGTGCAATTAAATGTTTCAAAGAGACATATGCAAAGTTCAGTACATTTTATTTCTCAGAGAGCTCCGAGGCACATCTGTCAGTCTCACTTCTTCAGTGCCAAGCCAAAGGCCAAGACTTTGAAAAGTAATATGAACTTGAAATGTGCTGCTTGGCCCCATCTCTGATGTAAATAAATGGAATGTTTATACCATTTACTGAAATGGAGCCTGGACCTAAGACAGCACAAAAATAGAGAAAGTTAGCTGAAGTTATGGGTTTCCTCATCTCTCTCACAGTAGTGAATGACAACAATAATTTTTCTCCTGACGTATTCCTACAAAATACGAAACATCATTCAAAGATACTCTACACAAGGAACTGCAACAAATACACTTGCTCTTCTTTTGGATATGGCTCAGCAACTTATATGGTATTTGGTATATTTGTAAAAAAAAGATCACCTTTATCAGGAGAGATGCTTCGAAGAGTTTTATGGGAGCTACACATTGAAACACTCCAAGAGTCATATAAATAAATAAGTTATATGTGATGTTTTAAACTTTTGACTAATAATACATATTGTTGGAACACACAAATTTTAATCACTATACTATTATGTATATAAATAAAATCAACATAGAAAATAAATGGAAATGAAATTCAAATACTGCTCAAACTAGGGCTGCAATGTGAACTTGATTAATCAATGAATCAGTCTGATCAGCCAAAAACATGTTCTCGTTTTTGGACAGGTTGAAAATATTATCACCTTGGAACAGCACATAACATACAAAGGACTCCTAAGCAGTTTTTTCGCCAAAGAACAGACCAGCCGCAACCCATTTAGCTTCAGTGAGACAGCTGCATCATTGAGCTTCAGGTCCAAGGGCCTCCTTGCCCAAGGCAGGCCTACTCTCTTTCTCATGCAAGGAACGTGTCTTCTAAGATGGTACAAGAAACATGCATACCGCCTGAAACAAAGAAAAAACACTCCCCCACACAAATCTATGAGTTCATCCATGTGCAAATTTATGCAGATATAACAGTAACAAGACTACAATAGAGCAACTAGAAGTATGTTTTATGGAAAGCCCATGAGATTTATTATCCATTCTACCAGGGACAAAACCTGGAACATAATATGCTGGAAGCTTTCTAATTTCAGTCTTCTGAAACATGTTCAGGTACAGAAAAAAGTGCTGTATGGATCACGGACTATGTTATACAAGGCAGTGATATTGCTATTAGTATTGATGCTGGGTGTGATTGTAAGACCTGAATAAATAGAAGTATTTTAACAGGATTTTTCGAATTTCCAATTAGGTTTTCTAGATAATTTATACTATTTTTTTTACCTCAAGTCATAACTAACACTGAGAAAATCCCTGAGAATTCTGATTTCGAGAGCTGTACCCGTTATAGTCTGCTGGTTATATAGATAGGTCATGGTTATTTCACTGTATATGTTTTTCATAATGATGCTCTCCAGATAGATGCATAGAACAAACTCTCCATTATGCTTTCCCTCTTTCCACAGAGTAAAAGGTAAAGGTGCATCATCAGCATAACAAAAAAAGAAAAGAAAAACAATTGTATGTTCTTTCAAATGAATCAAAATCATAGCTTTTTCTCTTCAAAGTGAGGGATGATTCCAATATCATCTTGTGCCAAACTGCTTTCTTTTTCCGTCACCTTCAGGTTTTCTTCTGCCAGCTGTGACAGGTACTTCTGTGGTGAACCAGAGACACAACAGAGTAACATCTGAGACAAAATATTTTACCATTATTGAAAATTATCCACTATATATAGTATTTTATACATTTTATATTTTCGAGCTACTACCAGGAATATTTGTTACTCCAAAGCAGCTTTCGAAAAAGAAAAAATTGTAAATGTGATTTAGGCACAGTATCTGGAATCAATATAGCGGGGCATTTGACAGGGCTCACACACCATGAAATGCTAACTGGATACTGTCATTTCGAACTGCTTATGATAGTTTCTTGCTTACAAGTGCTGCTGATCCCTTTTGTCAACAAAGGAACAGATGGGGGGAGCTCTTCAGAAAAAGCACCACAACAATTCTATTTGGCTCCTGCACGATGGTTTTCTCCTTTAGTTCTGGCTGTGCTCTCATATTACCTTTCTGGCACTTTATCATGGGTTGCTTTTCTCAGGGGCAACCAATGGTGAGAAAGAATGGAAGCAAAAGAAGCAGGACAAAACAAAGCTAATGTTAGTCTCCTTAGCTTCCACTGGGGATGGGTCCTGGTTGGCAAATTATGGAACTATTTAGCTTAACTTGAAAATTCAGATTAAATCAGGCAACTTTGGAGCAGGACCCGATAAGATGTCTAATCCAGTGGTTACCAACCTTTGTTCCTCCAGATGTTTTGGACTTCAGCTTCCACAATTCCTAACAACTTGTAAGATGGGTTGCTGTGAGTTTTTCTGGGCTGTATGGTCATGTTCCAGAAGCATTCTCTCCTGATGTTTCACCCACATCTATGGCAGGCATCCTTGGAGGTTGTGAGGTATATTGGAAACTAAGCAACGGAAGTTTATATATCTGTGGAAGGTCCAGGGTAAGAGAAAGAACTCTTATCTATTGGAGGCAAGTGTGACTATTGAAATTCATCACTTTGATCAGCGTTACAAAGCCTTGCAGCTTCAAGGTGTGGCTGATTTTTGTCCAAGGGAATCCTTTGTTGGGAGGTGTTAGCTGGCCATTTGTTTCATGTCTGGAATTCCCCTGTTTTCAGAGTGGTGTTCTTTATTTACTGTCCTCATTTTAGAGTTTTTTAAATACTGGTAGCCAGATTTTCTTCATTTTCATAGTTTCCTCCTATCTGTTGAAATTGTCCACAGGCTTGTGGATTTCAATGGCTTCTCTGTGTAAGATGTTAGATGGCTGGGATTTCTGGGACTTGAAATCCAAAACACATGGAGGGCCAAAGGTTGAAAACCACTGGTCTAATTGAATTGGCATCATCTTGTTTGGACTGACCAGGGGATTCAGATATCAATATGCTGGGCAACACACATTTTGGTGCCACAGAAGTAAGATCTGTTCCTGGGTATATTTCATTTGTAATTCCAAAATTGGCATCAGTTTCTCCCTATCAGCTCTAGATTTTGAGATACAGAAATATGCCATCTGCTTCATCCACAGAAAAGAATGATAACCATATCTAAGAAACTAGAACTGATACAGTCTATCCAAAGCACTTTTCTGAATCAGTGCCCCAATTTTAACCCTAGGAACAGGCCTAAAACCTTAGATACAAAGAAATATATTTTTGTGTTGGGCTGTGAATTTAATGGAGAAAAGCAATACAGCGTAGTTCTGTTAAATATGCATACAACTAAAACAGTGGGTCCCAGGGTACATAGAAGTAATTTAGCTGTTCTCGCATTCACTACAAAGGTCTGAAGGTGGCTGTGTTACAAAATGTTAACTAGCCATTGAAAACTAGAACACTATTTTCTTTTCAGAAGTGTAAAAACAGAGAATGCTAAGTTCTCCACTTGTCAACGGATGTAACACCCTGCAAACATAGAGAAATCTTCAGATGTTAACTTTTATTTTGTTCTAAAATAAAAAATGGGAGATATGATCACAAATGTAGAAGATATAATACACACACACACACACAATGACATTCATAGTGCCACTGTTCAGCAGTAAAAGACAAAGTAATATTGTTCATCTAAGAATTGGTTAACACAATATATACAGTACATCCCACCTGGAAGGTTTTATGTATGCAGTCACAATTGTAATATGTAATATGTCCATAACAACATGCTTTCTCACTGCAAATATAAATTGAAACAACAGGCAATGACCAAGTCAAGATACATAGTCATAGCTATGCAGTTGCAATGAACCTGCTGGTAAATTATCTATTGGCTGAAAGTCAACCAAGTCAAGGCTAATATGTCTTTTACTACTTCATCACATTAGAGCAGTGGTTCTCGACCTGGGGTCCCCAGATGTTTTGGGCCCACAACTCCCAGAAATCACAGCCAGTTTACCAAAAACATCTGGGGACCCCAGGTTGAGAACCACTGCACTAGAGAATGAATCCACTTTAAATCTGGTTTCTGCCTCCTGAAGTATTCTGGGGTTTGTAGTTTAGTGAGGCTGTTCAAGGCTCCTCCCTTGGACAGATATCAGTGATTGTAATTGGTATTGATAGAGAGAGTTAATTTAAATTACTCCCTTCCACGAACCCCTATAAGCCCAGTTCCTCTTCCTAGTCCTATTTTTCCTTCAGGAAAGATAATATATTTCTGAACCTTTTAGTCCTTTTTTAAAAAAAGGGAAGAACACACACAATTACAAAATTGATTTTCAGGTATGCCAAATGACATCAGAGTCCTGCACTGGCTAAGACAGGGCAGTGCTCTTGATACTGTGGGAACTCATACCAGATGTACACCTAATTAAAATTTATATTCTATATGAACACACAAGAGAGAGAGAGAGAGAGAATGATGGGTGGCTGACAACTGTCTAACTCTCAACATGAATCCCTGCCAATGAAATTCCAGTTACTTCAAGCTATTAAAAAGAGATTCATCTGTTGCTTAGTTCACGGAAACCATTAATGTTTAGATCTTTAATGGGCAAATGTACATTTTTCCAGTTATATAAAACTGCTTTGGTCTTGGATTAGTGTCAGGCTTAAAGGCAGAAAAAGAATCCTCAAGGCAAGCCTTTCACCTGTTACCATATCTCCTTTCACTTAAGTTTGTGCGTGACTTGCTACTGTGCTGTTAGTAGCATTTTGTATTAACTTGCAGTGTGCATGTCATTTTCTAGAGAAAAGCCAAGTGTGGGTGATGGCTAATCTTCCACTGATGTGTAACAGCTTTAGTGTAACAACTCTTGAAATCTGCAACGAGGGAATTAACCAAAGCTCTTTAGCTTCTAGTTGGCTTGACTAGCCTTTAGATTGTACAGAAAGCCTGACTGATAAATGTACGAGATAGAGTGCTAAGAAACAACCAGGATTTTCTTCACTGGTGGAAATTGTGGCATGAGCCTGGAAAAATATGGGCAAGCCCACTTCCAAACCTCCTCCAGAAGTTTTTGTGACTTTTTTTCTGTCAGGTAATCTCCTAATATTTCAGAAAATTCATCTTCCAAAATACATTTGATCCAAAGCACTATCACACAACACTGGACAACAATGCCTTTGCAAATCTCAGTATCTTAAAAATTTGTACCATGTAACAGAAACTGATTGTGTCCTATTCCTTTGTAAGTTTCACTGGACATGGTAACTGCACTTTTAGCATTAGTCACATCTACTCTATTAAAAAAGGAGACTACAGTAGGGAAAAGTGGGCATCAAAAAGTTATTGGGTATATCACTACTAGGGCCTATGCATTTTAAACAGTGATTCCCAATCTTTTTTTTTTTTTTTTGACCAGGGACCATTTGACCAGGGACCACTCTTCAACAGTAGTATCAAAAGGGTTATGAATCAGGTCTTAGTCAACTTTAGATTCAGTTTGGTTATTTGGGGTGCAGTTTCAGAAAATTACATTGGATAGATCACATCAGTTTTAGTTTCTGATAAATAACATATGTCATCCAGTAGTCGCCATCTTCTCGCCCAAAGAAAAACGTATTTAATCATCTAGAGCTGCTGTGGTAGTAGTAATCTTTTGTGGGTAGTCAGCCTCTCCTTATCCGATATCCCCATTGCCTGACACTATAAGAGGGTTTTGTGATACCACTCTCTTGTTGCTGCATGGTTTTGAGGCAATGGTGTAGTAATGGTGAAGCCGCAGACCATATTTTCATTCTTGCGGACCACTGGTGGTCCACAGACCACAGGTTGGGAACCAATGATTAAAACAACCACTAGTGCTTGGTGTTCAGTGCATTGCTTTTAAAATCAGGGAATCAATATAAATGGTCAAAATACATTTTGATGTCTCAAATGTTAGACCTGTTTCTGGGTATATTTGACCCGCTGTTTCTAAAAATTGCACCAGCTTTTCCCTATCATCTCTAGTTTTTGAGATACAGATGCCATCTACCAGTCACCATATGCTTGCCCATGGAAATCTATGATAAGAAACTAAAGCTGATGTGATCTATTCAAAGCAATTTTCTGAATCGGTGCCCACCAATAACCATAGGAACAAGCTTAAAAACCAAGACATCAAGAATTTTTTTGGGGGGAGGGGGAGGTGTGAATCTATTACCTGAAGATTTTTGTAGTGAACAGTGCTTCTACAATGACGAGTCTTTGCTGCTTCTTCATTTGTGTAGAAAAGCCCACAAAGTTTGCAGTAGAACCCAGTTCGGGGCACAACAAATTCCACTCCTGTACAAAACAACAACGACAACAACAACAACAACAACAAAATGAAAGACAATAAACAATAAAAAGCAGTAAGATAAAACAAATGAAATCTTAATTAATAATATCATCTAAAGAGGTACTTATCCCAATAGCAGTTCAATGTACTGAAGCATAATAAACTGGCAAATAAACTGGGGCCCCTAGTGGCGCAGCAGGTTAAACTGCTGAGCTGCTGAATAGGCTGACCAAAAGGTTGGCAGTTTGAATCCTGGGAGCGGGGGTGAGCTCCCGCTGTTATCCCCAGTGTCTGCCAATAGGTACCGCTTCTGCTGGAAGGTAACGGCGCTCCATGCAGTCATGCTGGCCACATGACCTTGGAGGTGTCTACAGACAATACCGGCTCTTCAGCTTAGAAATGGAGATGAGCACCACCACAAGAGTCGGACATGATTAGACAATGTCAGGGGAAGCCTTTACCTTTATCCTAAACTGACAAAACCACCTCTGAATATTCAAGCCGTGAGGAGAGGAGGGTACGAAATGAAATGATTATTTTTATTTTTATTGTTGTTGCCTAAGGAAAACCTGTGACATTCATGGGGTTGGCAGAAGTTGACAGGTGATTTGAAGTCACGTATATACCCATGGCTACCATTCGACTTTGGTATTTTAATTGCATCTCTTTCTGGAAATTGGGAGACAGCTACAATACACTTGAACAATAGGAATGTCAGACCTATCAGCTAGTGACATTTTAACCCTTTTCTAGTCTGGGTGGAAGAAAGCTGTGGCTCAGAGAAGTTTCTGAAGATGACATGTTGTAAGGCAAATATTATGTAAAATTGTGTTATATGACACATACCTAGGGGAATGCTGAGCTCTGTAAACACATCTTCTTGTTCCCATGATGGTGAAAAATATGATCTTTTTGATTCTACTTCTGGGAAATTAGGAGTTTTCATTTCCTGATATGTACTGTTTACTTTGAAAGCAAAAGAACATATTAAATAAAACCAAGTTTGATGACATCCAAAATGGCTTAGAATACCAACCCAAAATATTTTCTAGATAAGTACACAACTGCTTCCATGCTAGATAGTCTCTCCAAAATTGCAGTATCTTGTTCACTTACTCGGTTATTGTTACCAAATTGCCTTTTTTCTGAGTTTTTTGCCACAATTTTTAGATTTATTGTTTTGTTTCAAATGCATAAAATGTAACCATGATTTTTAAAAGATGGTCCAGTCTGAGGGGAGGAAAGGCCCGCAGCAACTTCTGGAAGCACGTGGTGTCATGATCATCCTAGTTTCTGGCCAAAGAATTTGGGACTCTGGAGCACATAAATGCCTCAAGGCCTGTATGTGACCAAGAAGCCGTATTTTACTCATTGTCTTTAAAACTGCACTGAGAAAGAATCTAGATGATACACATGACAGAATTTCCAAATTTTCTTTTAGAATCAAAATGTGAGAATCAACATATCTGATTAGATCAATTTCAAAGGAAAAGGATTTTTAATCCTTCAAAGCCAGGAGCATTTTCCCTTTAAAACATCAACATTGTATACGCCAGTTGCTTTTCTAGCTCTATATATTCTCCTCTGCAAGTATAAATGCAAGGTGTTTTACAAGAATATTAAGTACATGCACCTCTACCCATGTGATGATTAAATTATAGCATGATTTGAGTATATATATTTTAAAACAAAGAGACCGGGTATAATTCTCGAGGGGCCCTTCCAGATAGACCCAAATCACGAAAATAACCGCGATTTAAAATCCTGATTCCTTTCATGATTTAGGCTACACATAGGGCCCAAAATCTCTGGCTTTCCCTGGGAAGAGGGGAGTTGTTATATGCCCCTGGGTCAACCTGAGGTCGACCTGGGAGGGCATCTAGCTAGCCCCCAGGTCCCTCTGGTAAGTTTATAGGGAAAATGGGTGGCTGGGAGGGGAGCCCAAAGAACTGGGATGGCAATGGGGATTTGGTCCTTAGGATCGCAGAATGTGGTCCCAAGTGTCAATCCACACACACCCAACACCTCAACAGATCCAGACCTTACAGTAAGATCCAGATATGTTTTTTTTAATCCGGAGTAAAGTGAAAAATCCCAGTTTACTCCAAATTAATCTGGATTAACCTGACATGTTGTTTTGACACCTCAGGTTAATCCACAACCCATCACAAGTTTTGGGACTGTGTGAAAGGGCCCTAAGAATATTAAAGTCATTTTTGGTCACGACTATCTCAAGAAAAATATCTCTGAAATATTCAGAGGTGTATTGGAGAAAAGGGGATCCAACCAGTTATTGAAGGTGCATCATCAATAGATGGCACCCTAGATCATGACAAAACAGAATTAGAATAGGTCAACCTCATGAAACTCACAGATCTAAAGAAGCATATACAAATGTACCAGTAAGCAGTATTAAAATTTATGTTATAACAAAATCACTATCTGTAATCCTGTTTGGTAGTTATGAGACTATAAACAGGATTAAGGATTCTCATTTACAGTGTGTTACTGACTGAAAGTGACCACAAAATCCTGTTTTAGTCAGGGATCACCCCAACTGAAGGGCTTCTAAGGTGCTACAGATAAGAGTTCTAGGAAATCATTTCTACAGCTCTCTCCTAGTTGTAGGAAACACTGAGAGAAGCAATTATAACTGGACCTCACAAATCCTCTCCTGCTGCCAGTTCTTTGTGACCCCAGGACTGAAGGAGAATTTTGAATTTAATTTCCCAACATTTATTTATTTATTTATTTACGACATTTATATGCCGCCCTTCTCACCCCAAGGGGGACTCAGAGTGACTTATAAATAATATGTACCATAAATACAATATATTTTATTATTAGCATAGCACAATATTAGTATTATATATTACTATATTGTAATATACCATTATATTGTAATATTATTAGTAATATTACATGTAATTTAAAATATATAATTTTAATATCATATTATTATGGGTATTATATTGTATTACATTATAATATTATAAATATTATATGTATATACAATATATTATATTATATTATATTTTATATTATTATCACAGTGTGGGAGACAACACCTGCTCTTAGAAATCTTTTGACTAATGACAGTAAAAATTGTCATACCTTAGCAGAAAAGTAAATAGAAGGTTTACTTTAAAGTTGTCTTTTTTTATTTAAAATGGAAAACTATTTAGCAGAAACAGAGGAAGTTCAAACTGTATTATATGGCAATATACACGCAGTTTAAGGACCTCAACACACTGATGAGCCCCACCCCCCACCCCGTCCCATTTCACCAGTGAAATGGAAGGTGTGAGTGACTGTGCACCCTCCCTCCTTCCCCTATCACATGGGGGGGGGGAAGTGGGAGAATCACTGCAAAGCACGTTGGCACTCCGTGTCCCCCATCAGACAGGGGAAAGCATGGCAAGGTTTGTTGGTGCATTGGCACTTCCCCCATTAGAGAGGGGGAAAGCATAGAAACAGTATGTAGCTCCATTGGAGCTAACAAAAACACGGGAGACTCACTGTGGTGGCAAGGAAGTTTCTTGCAACACATCCTCACTACTTCACCCACTGATGGACCAGGGCCTTGGGCTGCGCCACTGATGGGGTGCACCTGGAGCTGTGGCCAAAGGGGAACCTCAGCGTGGTAAGGGGCAAAAACCCTTCTATGTGATGAGGAGGTAAATGAAAACCCTCCCCTGAAGATATTAAAACCCAGATAGGCTTTGTATAGGGAGATATGCTGGTTTTTTATGGTTATATTCTCATAACCAGCTCTTTGAATTTTGCTCTGAAACCAACTGGTAGCCAGGGTGCTTACCCATATTTTAAGGATAGATAAGTTTGTGTACTTGAAGCTCTATAAAAAGGATTTAGTACAATCTGATCCTCACTCAATGCATAAGGGAAATATTTATTTTTTATTTATTTGGAGTGCTTCTACACCATCCTTCTCAACCCCCTAGGGGGGACTCAGGGTGGCTTACAAAAGGCACAATTCAATGCCCAACAATTCACAAAATACAATATACAATTTACAATTTAACATCAACAGTTAAATATGCTGATAGTCAGCCAAAAGCAACAGTTTGTCTCCAAAATATTGGAGATATATTATATATTTATATAGATAAAAATGGAACAGCACAAATGCACAAAAATAATTAGCAATTCCAAAAGCATTTTCATGGGAAAGTTATTTTTAATCAACCAGACATAAACTATTTCCTATTAACAATTTGACATTTGAGCTAGTTGCTCCAAAGATTCAACACTTCTAAAAAACCCCAGAGATGATCCTGATTAACAGGATACTCATTACATCCATATGTAATTTTCTTGAAGAATAAGAACCCAAGAGTTGAATTTTGACACTACTTTTGGGATTTTTCATAAAAACTTACAATGCTTTTGGCAATATTTATTCTGATGATAAAACAAAATTAAAGGAATACTGCATAGATGAAAGATCTTAAATACTTATTTAATTACAAGAGAAAGGTAAAAAATGTACTAGTTACCCTGAGTCCTTTGAAGCGCCTGATTTCCATAGCTGGTTTCTTCCTGGGTATTTTGTGCCAGCATCTCCATAGCTTTTCTACTCTCACTTTCTAATGATTGCATTGCTTTAAAATCATCTATCGAAGTGGCATTCTGCTGGAAGAGCTCTTCTTTTGGAGGACCAGGAGAAACACACTGCTCCTCCAGCTTCAAATGGTTATCAGTGCTTTCGTTTATTTTTCTTTCTTTATCACAGCAATCGGGATCCCTTGCAGGACTGCCTTCATGCGATTCATGTGGCTGCAGCTCAGTGTCCAGATTTAGATGTGCTGCTTTAATAGTTGTATTATCATTTTCAGAGACACTGATATTCCCTATTGTCCCCTCTTCTGACACTAAGGCTGGTTCCATTTCTTTAGATTTGTCTTCGCTTTTCTTTATTAGGCTTTGCTCATTCTTCACCTCCGCTCTGGTAGCTAAAGCACTCATTACAGGACATTCTTGGTCTTTCTGACCTACTGTTACTATTTCTTCAAGTTCAGTTATATCAGGTTCCATGATAAGGTCATCTTCTCCCACCTCATCTACAGTTACCAGCTCTTCCATATTAGCGGGATACCAGGTCTCAGCTTCCATCTCACTTCCACTCTCCCAGTCCTTTAACAAAGATTTAAACTTCATGATAAACATGTCAAAGAATTGACAATATCACAGTTTTGTTTCCCAAGTGACAAGTTATAGCTTTTCGTTATGAGAACATGCGATGACAGGACTCAGGTTTACATACTTTCCTGCCCCACAGCCTCATTGATCCACAAGAAAAGGGAGACTGGAAACTACTATTTTCAATTTTGAAGAGGAATGGTGGTGAATTTACTTACTTAATTCCCACCCTTTAACCTGCACTCTGAAATCGTAACTTTCCTAAATCCTGCAGTTGTTATCTTGGGAAGAGGCAGGAAATACATAGCTGCAGTTAATGAACTCTTATACTGAAATCTCCTTTTTATAGACAATCGGACTAATGTGATTATTTATCTGAAAAAATGTGCAAAAGATGTTTCAGGGGAAATGCAGAGAAAATATAAACACCAACGAAAAAGTGCTCACAAAACCATATGTTCTAAAGAATGAAAATGCATACAAAATGTGTGCTTTTGGGGATATACACATAAAATATATAAAGCATCTCTAGCAGTCTTTGTAGAAACAGAATTTATCCATTAAAAATGAGAATAAAACAATAAAAAACTACCAAACGGAGCAAAAAAACCCAACCCAAAACAGAACAGAACAGACAGAACCCAACAGATTTGCAGATCCTTACTTTTGCATAAACAGAAGTTTCATCTAAATTTGGTTTACTCTGATTTACTAAATAGGATTGTGTCAGACCATAGTTAGAATCTCTCTGGGTCCATTCCGTCAGTCCCAAAACACAAATGATACCTCTGGTAAAAACGGATTAATTTGGAACAAACCAAGGTCACCCACAAAAGTCCTGGTTTTGGTGGGTGGGTGGGTGTAGACAGAAACTTGTGCCAAAACGGGTTATTTTAACTCGCTTAAGCACGGGTTTAAGGGCTGTGTGGAAGTACCCTCTATCTATCTCTTTTTCCATATTGAACTGAGCAATCTTAAAACATAAACCTTTCACATAGTTTCTTTTGGTTTAATCCCAGTAAAAACAACAGGACCCATACTCTTAACAATTGTGTGATGGTAATTTTATGGTAAACAGTATATTAATTCATGCATGGATTTATATAATAGAAAATTTGAGCATGATACAATGTAAAAGCAATTAAACTGCAAATAAAAACATTTGCAACAAAATAAACATTTGCAATAAAAATTGAAGCAGTATATAACTAAGTGTAAGTGCCTAATGCTGAAAATCAAGCAAGCCTTTCTAGTGAACATATGTCACACTTGAGGCAAGGCGAGGCCTGTTTTGTCTGATAGTCACCTGTTACATTCAGAAAATGGCCTTAGAGAATTGTTTTATTAAAGTCTGGTAGGCATGTCTATGGCAGGTAAGACTTTGGGTGCCCTGTTTCCTAACTGTCATGACTTTAAGAAGTAAAATAGCCCTTTGAATTAGGCCTAGAAACAGAAAACCAACATAATTAATTTATCATTCCTGCTTCAAATTTGCAACGTTATAGTTTTATTCTGACATTTAGTCTCACATTTAATGAATTGCAGTAACTAGGACATTAAGTAGTGGATCAAAATAAATTGCTTATTATAAAAAATAATTTAAAATGATATGGAAGTATCCATTACAGTAGTTTTGGTATCTCGGTCCAGTTATTAAGCATGTGCTGAATCATCAGCCCAACAATTAAGGTTTTAAAAGGATATTAGATAACTGCTAATCTAATCAGCTGTTTGTTGGTATAATATGCCTTTAGCTGGTCTATGGCCTTTAATCACATCGGTCTGTAGTCTCTCAGCAAACAGAAACATAACTAGTGACAATCCAGTTCAAAAACTATATCACCAACCCTCTCTGCAATTGTGCTATTGTGCTTCTGTTCTTTGGTTTTCCTGTGCTCTTCTGCTCCTCCCCTTTCCTGTCTTATCTCATCCACTACCATCTCATTTCTCTGTAGGCTTTGCACCTCCCAAAAAGATTTTTTAAAGAGTCAGAGAAACAGATTTGGGCCCTTTTATCTTTTCTCTCTCTATTCAAATTACCCTTTCGATTAGAGAAATTGTGAAGGGAGCGGAAGAAAATAATGTTATGTGACAAGGACTAGATATAGATGCTATAGTCCTGTAGTAATTGTGATTTACCAGCCTCCAGTGATAAATTCCTTAAAGAACCATCATAGGATCTAAAAAAATATATCACTTTTACTTCTTACAACAACAGCATGAGGGCCATGTTTTCAACTTACTGTCTTTTTTTGTGTGTGTCAGAATAATAGTCTTTATTTATAGGCCACCCTATCTTCCCAGGGGGATTCAAGGTGGTTTCCAGGCAAAAAACCAAATATTCAATGCCTTGATGATAAACACATACATCAAAAACAGTGCAAGATAACACCATTATACACTCATAAATTACTAAAGAAGAAAATAAAATTAATACTTAAATAAGCATAATTATCTAAACAAACACATAAACTCTCTAGGCAGCTTTGGAGAAGACCCTGTGCATCTGAGGCAGACCACCTTCACTGTGACATAATGGGAGCCATTGCTGTCACCCATTTACACATGTATACATCATCTTCTCATATCAGTTGAACTTACCAATAGATAGTTGGGACATATCGATTTCCATCCACATTTAAAACACAAATGTTAGCATTAACTTTATGGAATGCAATACAAATATAATATAAATATAAATCAATTTTTAGTATGAAAATCACTAATGTTCTGGATGTTAAAAAATCAAATGGGGATTTTTAAAACTAAGGGATGAAATAATGAGAAACTGCAAGTCGCTTCTAGTGTGAGAGAATTGGCCATCTGCAAGGATGTTGCCCAGGGGACGCCCAGATGTTTTACCATCCTGTGGGAGTCTTCTCTCATGTCCCCCCAAGGGAAGTTGGAGCTGACAGACGGGAGCTCATTCCGTCTCGCGGATTCAAGCCACCGGCCTTCAATTCAGCAGTTCAGCTGGCGCAAAGGTTTAACCCATTGTGCCACCGCAGCCCATTGTGCTGACCCTTTCTCACTGCACTAATTCTCACAGAGCTTTACACTGACCACAAACAAACTATGGTCTTTCAGTCCTTTTTTTCAGTAGTTATTCCTAACACAGACCAGCAAAATGCTAGGAATAATTTGTTGTTTATTCGTTCAGTCGCTTCCGACTCTTCGTGACCTCATGGACCAGCCCATGCTTCCTGTCGGTCGTCACCCCCCCCCCAGCTCCTTCATGGATAACATCTATCCATCTTGCCCTTGGTCAGCCCCTATTCCTTTTTCCTTCCTTTTTCCCAAGAATCATTGTCTTCTCTAAGCTTTCCTGTCTTCTCATGATGTGGCCAAAGTACTTCATCTTTGCCTCTAATATCCTTCCCTCCAGTGAGGAGTCGGGCTTTATTTCCTGAAGTATGGACTGGTTGGATGTTCTTGCGGTCCAAGGCATCTCAGAATTTTCCTCCAACAACACAGTTCAAAAGCATCTATCTTCCGATTAATTAATATCCTTCCAGATATTAATTCAGAAAATAATGATACCAAGGCAGAGGAACATCTTCGGGTTCTGATGAAATGGCCATGCATGGTACATTTAAAGTCTTATATGTATAAAACCTAAGATATTATTCTGCTGCTGTATTGCTGTTCGACAACTTAATTTTACTGTTATCAACTATTACCTTGTTATTTGGCAAAAAAACTAAGGCCGTAAGTTGAAATATTACCATCTAATAAAAGTTTAACATGTTTGTTTCACTGCTGTTTAGTCAATTCCTTTAGTGTCTTAGAAAGGCACTGAGGGCAGATACCTTTGGGAGATCAGTTTCTTGCTGCCACAGATACTGATAGCTTTCACATCTGATGATCAGCTCATGACCCTAAAGATATGATGCTGGAAAGCATCCAAGGACATTGGTCTATGTCTCTTCAGAGCTCCGCTGAAGGACTAGCTTTTCAGTTATTTAATTAATCAAGAACATTTAAATATTAGTTTATATATTATCCATATTTATATTATTTTAAAAAATGTTGACAACAAGTACCTTTGCTTCTATTTAAAAATGTCAAAACCACGTCTTTGGATATAGTTTACAAATTTGTTAGTTTTTTCAAGGATATCCAATTTTTATTGTCCGTGCCAAGTATTCAACACAATCTATATATGTAGACAGCAGCTAAAAAAAGACTTAGAGGATGTGCCCAAAGAAGCAAAGGTCATGATGGGATAATTTAGAATCTCCCGAAGATAACCTTTTAAAGTAGTGTAATATTTCACTGACAAATACATTAATTGTTATTTGCTTCCAGGTCCAATTCAAGTTGTTTTTAACCTTGGGAACCTAAACATTCTAATCCCTAAATGCCCCATCGCTAGGGATTTCAAATTACATTCTGTAAATGGTCTATGTGTTCCATTTTAATCGTGTGCAGTAAGGACAAAGGGTTCTTGCCCCTTAACTTAACTTATTTTTTCCAACAATCAAGATGTAAAATATTTATATCGATGCCAAATCATTAAATAGACGATAGTTTAAAATCCGTCATTTTCATAATGTCAGTTTTTTTCTCTCTAAAATATTTGATTTAAAGGATCCTTTGGCATGACTTAAGGTCCATTATTTTCACGATATGGTGCCCATTTTGAAAATGTTGTCAAAGATAATACATGAAAAATGAGGTATATATTTTGATTTGTAGGGGAAAAACCTATTTGATTAAGGAAAGCTGCATGTTTTTTTCTATTACTTTCAAGATGATTATGTTGGCAAGAAAGACCATGAGCAATTTTCAATTCATTCTTGAGAAAGAGAAGTTTAATAGCTTCACAATACAATAAAACATAACAATAGAGTTTGAACTTAAGAAAAGTCTAACCATGAAAAATAGCACAATTTTCTAGATAACAAAGAATAGTCTTCTGAAATTCAAAAGAAGGTCTCCCGAGAGCTTTATTTCACAGGAAGGACACCAAGTGGGAATCTGTGGGTAGGTGGTGGATAAGGAATATAATCTTTAAAAATGTTTTAATGTGAGGAAGATAAAGCAAAACAAGAATTGATTTGATTATCCACCCAAAATATAGTCTCTTAAAAGGACTGCACAATGAACCCATAGTCAAAGAATCTCAAGGGAAACATTAAGATATGTGGAACAGAAGCAGGAGCAGGTTGGACTCTTTGCTTCTACAGATGACTTTTCATCTCACATCGTAAATACTTGAAGGAGAGGAATCGTAGGAGGCAGGAATGGTGTTAATTACTTTCTCTTCAATTTCTCCATTTAACAGTTGTTACCATTTAATTTCCAGACATAAAAACAGAAGCAAGCTGGATCCAACAGTAGGCAGACCTCAATAAAAACAGTGAGATCAACGAAGGAACAGGTGCCATACACTGTTATAGGTTTTACAATATCAATCTCTTGCTCTAGAAGAGGACCATTACTATGATTTCTACCTGGAGAGCCTGTGTCTTGCATTACAACTCAACAAAAAGTGTCAGGGAACAGCATGTATTCAGTATCACCTCAAATCTTACATGCAGGCTTTTACTAGTGCTGGGACTTTTCTGAAAGTCACAGGGCCTTACTAGTCCCTCTTCTTAAGACAGATCTGGAGGGAAATGCAATGACATCACAGAAGCCTTGACAGCTATGTGTAAAGTATTCCATTACTTTTTATCCTTTTATCTTGGAGGAAAAGTAGAAGTCACAATGCCTATAGGAAGAATGAATAAACTGACATCTGGAACAGCAAATCTGCTATGTTCCAGTCTTCCCAAATCCCTTTCCTAGTAAGAGAAGAAAGAGCAAAGGAAAGGAAAAATCCTATGAGAATTTTTTAAAATATTCTGGCTACACTCTCAAACAACAATAAACAATTCTTCTTGAAAGGTCTACCTCAGTAATAAACAAAACTTCCTTGCTGTGTCTCCAATAGTTCCCATAAAATTCAGATCACATTCCATAGCGGATTTATTGACAATGGAGCCACCTGCTGCCACTGACAGGAGGAGGCTTAATTCTTTCCTGCCAGCTCTCCTTCATTGTGATCAAGAACAGGCTGTGTCTTTCTAAACAACTATATACCCATGTATAAGTTGAGGGCAAGTTTTGGGGCCAAAATTATAGATTTTGGTATGACCTGTGGATAAGTTGAGGGCCATTCTGCAGAGAGAAGAAAGCATCAATGTCACTTCAGAGGCCAGCTGCCTCTGGCTACCAGCACAATTTCCCCGCTCAGGCATTCAAAAAGGTTGTCCCAGGATAAGACTACGATTCTGCCTTTCACCAACTTATTCAATGAAGGCTGTTCCTTTTTTATATATAAGAATTAATATAGCCTACTCACATGGACCCATGGATAAGTTGGCCCAGGTTTTTTGGGTTGAGATTTTGACTGAAATTTCTAGACTTATACTTGAGTATATAGAGTACTTTTGATGTTACTTCAGTCTTCATATTTAAAACTGTCATATGATGTTATTTGACTGTAAATCACTTTAGAGTGCCTGATATAGTAGTGTCCTGGGTTACTTTCAAACAAATTCTACACCGGAGATAATTCCATTAGTGTGTACAACTTACCTTTTCTTTTCTTGAGTTTTCTACAGAATCTTCTGTTTCTTTCATCTTCTTATTTATAGGACTGTTCTCCATATGGATATCTTTATTTTCGACCTAAGACAGAGATTGTCTATGGGTGAAGACAGATGTAGTATAAAAAGTGAACTCACATTATATTCCTTAGTTATGGTGTGAGCCCCATTACTCCCATGTTCACGATCTGATTTGATAAATACCCATCACAGTAAAATCAAATGTTCAGCTGTGTGAGTCACTCTTTCTTTGTGTTTAAGGAAAGCTGAATGCTTTTTTCTATTATTTTCAAGATGAGCATTACATATACTGTACATTTATCAATTCATTTGTTATTAACAAGAAATTAATATAATTTGGACAGTATCCTTTAAAGAAACCTTGCTCTGTGGACTGAGGGGGAAAAGAACCTCTCCCTATAACATTACAGAACACCAGTCAACCTGCAATACAGAGAACTAGCTTTATGTGGAAGCCTGGACCATCGGTTTTATCAATTTTCAACTTAGAAATTCAGAACTAGTAACAAATCAAACTTAGTGTTCTGTTTTTATGGCCTAATAAGCAAATAACACTTGCTTTCAATTTTATCAAGAAATTGGAAACTCCTGAATATTTTAGAAAGGCTGGCCAGAATTCAAAGAGCAACAAAATCTATTTTCTGAGTACAAGCCAAATACAGACAAACTAAAGGGTAGTATTTTGAAAATGAGTGGAGTTTCTGTCTCAGATGGAGGGCAAAATGAAGACAAAAATGAATATCCTTTCTGTGAGCCAAAGCACCTCTTTGAATACCAAATAGAAGGACAAAAGTTATAATTTTGAAGATAGGAAATGCAAACAAGCAATGTCTGTTATTAAATGACACTGTACAAATGTTAATTCCTAAACTATACAAATTGGTAGGAATCACTGGCTGGAAATGACAGTGCATTATCTTCTTTATTCTGTGGGACAGACTCTGATATTGGGCAAGAGTCTTTTTCTGTACTCTTTAATTTACTCTGCAAAATTGCAGAAATTTATCCTTAAATACAAAACAGGCAAATTAAAATACGTTTCATAACATATTCATTGTCAGCAGTAACTTAAAATTGCCCATTACCTCATTCTCACTTCCTTGCTTCACACTGAGTTCTTCAGCTACACAAGATATTTCTTCTTTTGAGATCTTATTAGTATCTTTGCCCCTTTCTTTATCACTTTGCTTTTGCTTGATGTTGTCAAACATCTTGTTAGACTTTTGGTCTGCTGCTTCTTCCTTAGCTAAGTCTTCAGAGTGAGACTGTTTGTGCTCTCTTAATTTTGCCTCTTCTTTTTTTTTATACTTTGACCCCGTATCGAGTGCCTGTTTTTGATATTTATCTGTTTTTTGCCTAGATGGCTTTCTGTAGTAGTCTTCTTCTCTGCTCTTATGTCCAGGCAAATTATAAGCTCCCTTTGCAGTAGGTGAACTCCCTCTAAAATATTTTTCTCTGTGCCCTCTGGTTCCTTCAAGACGCTCTTCTGAGTCAAGTTTGTCCAGATGACGTAAATAATGTTGCTTTCTATCATGAACCCATGAATCAGTCCTATCTCTTTTATCTTCCCCATTCTCTCTGCGGGGCACCATTTCTCTTTCCTCATCCCTTCGAGAAAAAGGAGGTTGATCCCATGTATCTCTTCCATTCCCCCATTCTGTCCTGTTTGTGCTCAGTGGACTGTGGGGAGAACTACAGGAAGTAAAGCTTGGAGTATGTGATCTTGGAGAAAGTGAATGGCTTATGGGGCTGCGTGACCGAGGCCTTTCTGGTCCATACCTACAGTAGCAAGGAAAAGTTGGGTTTTATTTATAAACATTTTGAATTAATCACATTTTATGTCTCTATCAGTCTGTAAAGGAATACGATAGTTTCTATGTTTTTCCATTGGTCTCCAGATGTACCTTGAGAAACTAAATTGTATCAATATAGTACTAATATGTAACACAGTTGCTGTACTTCAAAATTATTATTAATTGCACCATGTAACAGAATTTGAACAATTTTCTGTTCCTGGTTTGAAAATGTTATTTCCTGTTTAAATGTGAGGTACTTACTTTGAAAGTAGTTGTTACACTCCAGAAACTTCGTTTTTGTGGCTGCTACAAACTACATATGTCGAATTGATTGAGACTCTATCAGATATTTATTGGAAAACTATAGCAAAATGTGCTGTACAATGTCCCGCAAAAACAAACTTTTTGTAGTTTAATAAAACTTTTCCCGTGTTTTTATGATAGAACAAATTAGGAAATTACGTTTATAACCCAGGAACAAAAATTGTGTTACATAGTGTTATGGTTTTTGCATCATGCATACACACATTTTTACAGTCCAAGTTATACCATAATCAAAAAGAACTAACATAAATTGTGGTAGAAAATGCAAGTATTCCAACATGCTTTGAAAAAAACCTATTTATGACTCAATCTCCAAGTAAAAAGGAAATATTTCAAACTATAGAAGAGGAAAGATATGCTAGCTTGAGATTTAAAATCACGTGTCTTGTTTGCCTCATTTTTTAAACCAAATTATGCAGCTTCCAACATTTCCCAGTACGATTAGGATTTCTCTTTTAACATATGCCACAAAACAAGGGGGAAATAGTAATATTATGAAGTACCTGTCAGCTTCCCGCAACATACCCCGTTCTCTTTGACAGTGGATGTCCTGGATTATTGCTGCCACATTCTTACCTGGTTTCTAAGACAAATAAAGATATATCTATTAATCAATGCAAACAAATATTTAAAAGCCATTGAAATTAAAACGCAGACATGATACAGAATAATTCAAATGATTCCATTGCCTGTGCAGAATATTAACATCCATTATATTGAATATCAAAAAAACTAAAAAAAGTATGAAAATAATTCTATGTAGTCAGTGGTTCCCAACCTGTGGGCCGTGGACCACCAGTGGTCCCCAAGAACTAAAATATGGCCCTCAAAATCACAGTTACTACACTATTGAAACAAGAGCGGCTGATCTTTCAAAACCCTCTCATAGTGCCAAGACTTATTAAATATGGTTTTCTGTGGGCGAGCAGATGGCGAGTACCGGATGGCGTATGTTTTGTATCAGAAACTAGAGCTGATGTTGACTATCCAATGAAATTTTCTGAATCACCACCCCAAATAACCAAACCAAATCTAAAGTTGACCAAAAACTGATTTGTAACCCTTTTGGTATTAATATTGGCGAGTGGTCCCTGGTCAAAAAAAGGTTGGGAACCACTGATCTAGGTGTATATCTATAATGCCCTTGTAAAGAAAATAATTGTGGTATGTCAATGCACAATCAAATTGCACTATTAAAAATAATTGCAGAGGTTACAGAGTGAAGACTTCATGTTTTGGAATACAATTTATATTCTGAAAGCTATACAAAATAACTGTTATGCTCACTGTATCCAGTATTTTCTAGTATCTGAACATAGCAATGACAAAGCAGAAAAACAATTAATTTACAACCTTAAAATAGGCATATTAGAATATCTGTATATTTAAATTGAAATAATAATCATTCAAGTGGAACAGTGGAACAGTCAAAACCTAAGTTAAAAAAATATCCAGTATGGCCCCATCTACAGTGCCTTACAATGCAGTGTGACCTGGAATATAATAGTCAGTTTAGACTCATGTAATGCAAATTAAATTGCATTGAACTGATTATGTGGGTCTATCCTGCCAAATAATCAAGTTCCATGCAGTTAATATGCATTCTGTAACAGGAGTATATGGGGAAGTTCTGGAACTTATGGAGACACTCCTGCAGCACTAATTAACTGAAAACTGGAGAAAATTTTAAACAAAGTCCAGAAATTTTAAAATTTTAAAATCAGTCCAGAAGTATATCAATCAGCAAAGCAAAAAATTGTCAGGAAATGTAAGGAGAACAATTAACATATAGCACAACAAGTTCTTTTAAAAATTCACATGTAATACAGCAACAAATTTGTTTAACATGTGAAATTTTTAAATTTTAAAGTTTTTTTTAAACTACATATAAATCTATAAATATCTTATATTAACTGTGTTCTCCTGTTATGCGGTAAAATGTCATACAAGCAAATCTACCTACAGCTCTACTGGATTAATTATCAAAATTTTCATCTTATCTAGATAAAGGTTTTGTTTGTCTTTCTCATCCATTGCGTTATTTTGCCTTAACACTTAATAAAAAGCCAAACATTTGCCTTAATAGTTAGGCTGGGATCTTTTAAATATATGACCAATGGAATATAGGACACCCTCCCCCCCCCCCTCCAAAAGTTTAATCTGGTTTTCAGAGAGGTTTCACAATTATGTGAAATGTCTTTCAAAATCAACTGGGTTAAAGTTTCTAGAGAAGTGAAAACATAATGGTGACACTATGAGATAAATCATAGTCTTTTGTTTGCTTCTTTGTTATTCTGAATGCTTCACCAGTCTAAACAGAAAAAAGAGTTATTCCCAAAACACACATACAAGTATCAGGAAATATGTGGTTGTTGCAAGAAATAATATAGCAAAATCCTCTTGAAGCTTTATCTGAAACACACACACTGATTTACCAAAAAAACTCAGATTTACAGAAGACAGAAACAAATGTTTTACCTTTAGCTGAAGTTCTCTGTATCGTTTAGACATCCTAATGAGTAATTTGTCATCGTTTATTATTGCAGGTTTCTCTTTGTAGTACTGCACCATAGCCTGAGCAGCCTCAGTATATGCCATTTCTAGAAAAGCCTATTATAATACAGAAGCAGTTTAAAGTTCTTATACTTTGTACTGAGATATGTTTATGTTAAGTAAATTTCATTGATAATCTGAATATACTCTGGCAGTTGCAGATGATGACGATATACCAATAAATACTACTGTAAGGCAAACTAAGGAAACTTGGAAGATGCCTATTGTCATGCAAGAAAGGAAAACACCAAGACTGAAATGATTTCCACCTTGTTCATAGCTATAAAAGGTAAAGGAGCCTTCCCCTCTTGTGCATTTTGACACTTGATTTTTAGCTTAAAGTAAAAGAATACATCGTTCTTTCTAAGTGGTAGAATTTTCATCCAATTTTCAGACATGGTACATTTTTAGGTATTTTTAGATTTGTTAATGTAGCGAAACATTAGGAAATGTTAACCGCTCTGAGTCGCCTGATGGCTGAGAAGAGCGGTATACAAGTAAAGTAAATAAATAAATATGAAAACAATTTGCAAATCTGAGGACTAGTTGAATTAAAAGAAACACATGTGATATGGATCTCCATTATGACCTTTCCTTTGTTAACCTTGGCATGCAATGCTAACATATCAAAAGACTTTGATAGTTTTGAGTATAATCCATTTTGTGTAATAATACTGAAATTGACAAAGTTCATGTAAAATACATCAGAATGTTACAATATAATACAATAAAATAGGCACCGTGTTTATGTATCCACAATTAATATATTTTTAAATGACCATTTGCAAAGACTAAAGTAACTATGCATTGTCACTTTTGCAATTATCACTATAACATTAATACATTTCAAAACACTATGCTTTTACTGTGAACAACAATAAAATGAAGAATACCTGATTGGTTGATTTCATAAGGATATAATTGGTAACTTTTCCAAAGGGAAGTCCTAGATTGATAACATCGTTCTCTGTACAGCTTCCTTCAGGAAGATTACAGATGTGTACTACACGGCCTGGTGTACTATTCTTTTCTGACAGCTGAAATTTTTAAAAACAAATTTAGATCCAGAACGGTCACCTGCATGGGACACACATTTTGAATTGCTTTCTTAATTTGTTCTGAACATCAGTACAAATGTTAAAGATGGTATCACCTTGCCTCCCTAGCTCATCACTACTTATTGGGTTTTCTTCTGTAATCCTAATCATGCATTTTATATCCAAAGACATCCCAGTGTTCCATACAGTGTTCAAAGTATGTTTAGATGAGACAGGGTAACTATAAACACCTTGTTTAACAGGACAGAATGTCATTTAAGCTTCTCTATATTCTGTGCTAAATATTTATCAATGATGGAAGCACTTGACACTATGTGTATGCTGACTGCAACATTTACCCTGCATACACAATATGCACAACAGTTATGTTGGCAAAAAGGAAGCTGTATTTTGAGTCTGTACGTTTCTCAAAGGAAATATTTATAAGTCAAACTAAAAACAATTCTTTTTTCCCTTTTTTAAAATGGTTCTTTAAGGAATTTTTTTTTATATCCAGACAAGTGTGAGGTTCTATTTGTAGGTGGAGTTTTCTGGCTGATGTTCAGTTTGTTCTAAATGAGGTTGCACTTGAAATTTCTCAGCTTGCAATTTCTCCTGGATCTGTTAGTCAACTGAGGTGTGGCTGACTTTAGCGGCACAAAATACTTTTTAGGACTTCAGACAGTGACCCAAGTACAGATAACCCTAGTTTCAATGATTTTACCCCCTGATAATCTCCAGTTTAGATTATTGCAATATACAGCACATGGGAATGCCTTTGACGATGGATTGGAACTTACAAGTTGACACAGAATGCAGTGCATAAACTGGCCATGGAGACAGAATGGTCTGATCATATAACACCTATTCTGTATCATATGACACCTATTCTGGCCCAGCTGACACTCTGGCAAATTCAAAATACAGTAATACCTTGACTTAAGAATTTAATTAGTTCTATGACTGTGTTTTTAAGTCAAAACATTCCTATCTCAAAGTGAACTTTCCCATTGAAATGCTGTTAATCTCTCCCAGCCCCCTGAAAACCACCCTAATTGTTTTTGTTATGTGGTTTTAAATAAGAAAATGTACTTTATAAATGTATTGCCGAAGGCTTTATAAATAAAAAATAATCTATAAAATGTTCAGAGATAGGCAAGGAAGCACATTTGAGACAACAAAATGTGTTGGCAAGGCAAAACAGCATCATTTTTTTCATACTGTAATTCCAGCCTCCCTCCCTCCTTCTCTTACTTTCTCCCTCTCCCTCTCTCTTCTTGAAGCAAACATACATTACTCCCTGTTTAGTCTGAGGCTCTGCTGCACTAGGGTGGACTGATGAAACTTACTGGCAGTGCATGGGGTGCAGACCCAAAATTAGTAAGAACATCAGCCCTGCCTTTGTCTTACTCAATTGCTGAGTATGCCTGCCCTGTCTGTTCACACGAAGCCGGTGAATATAGCATTGAACAAAACATGCAGAATAATTACATAATGCCACAAACCTACACCTGTTGATAGACTCTATAAGGTAGCTGGCATTGCCCCCCCCCCCAATGTGCAACAGGAAGTTGTTGCTTACTGCAAGAGAAATAAGGTTGAACACTGTGAAAGTCATCCACTGCATGGCTATCAGCCTCCTCCCAGTAGACTTAAATCAAGGAAAAGTTTCATGAGAACCACCAATCCTTTCAATGTTCATCCAGCAATTGCCAGAGTATCCCTCTGGGCAGCTAAACCAGGAAATCCCAACTGTATAGCCCCCCCACAGGGGGCTTCCCCCAGGGGCAAACCAAGAATGGGCAACTTGGAAGTCCCTGAACAGACTCAGAAGTGTAGTGGGCAGATCAAAATACAACCTAGCAAAATTACTCTACCTAGAAAAATCCTCCACCTTGTGTGACTGTGGAGTAGAACAAACAACTCTGCATCTGTATGCTTGCCCACAATGCCCTGCTTCATGCACTGAGGAAGAGTCTTTAAAGCTACAGACAATGCAGTCGATGTTGCCCGTTTTTGGTCTAAAATTATTTAGATGCTTGTGTTCCCTTTATTTTATCAATTTTATACTTATTTATGCAATGCTTTTGACGCAAAATAAAAACAGGGTGGACTGCCATCTCTGGAGTGGAATCTCTGGATTGGACTCCTCCCAGAACTTTCAGGGAAAGGAATCTCATGGAGCTAGAGTTTCTGCCTTGTAAGAAGAGTTAGAGCTGCTCCGCTTAGTCTTTGAATAGCTTTCTAGTACAATGAGGCAGGTTTAGGGGTGTGCGTTAAAAGGTTGCTGAAGAGAAGACATAACTGACAAAACAAAAATGATGCCTCTTGACTCTTTTCTACATTTCATTAAAATAGAAATAAAAACAAGCTAAATGTAGTGCATAATTTTCATCAGAAATATTGTAAGTTATCGTATAGTATTATCAAAGCAAACATTGATATTTACTAAGAAGTGAATGCTAGAATGCTTCAAGAGAACACTATATTGTATGCTCACATTTTCTCCAGGTGCCATGGAAGATAATGCGGAGCATGTCTGACCAAATGCGGAATTATATGCTGACGCAGCATTTAAAGGGTAATCTAAAAGAAATGACACACATTCAGTTAAAAAGTAGATATGTGTAAACTGCAAATGTATAAAAAATAAGCAACACTTTTCTTTCTTCTGTTCAGACTACCAAAAAAAAATACAAGAAAGAAAATTTAGTGGGTACCATGTTTATCCAACAAATCATCCTTTTTCTAATATTAGACATGGCTGTCACCAGTTTTCTGGAGGAATGAAAAAAAATCCCACCAATTAAACATCACTACTTGCCTCAGTTGAGCACAACAAACATATGAATACTGCTTGGTCAGATAAAAGATATATCTTAGTCCAGCACCATTTTTCAGATTATGGCCAGCTAGGTGCCTATGGGAAGTCCACAAACAAGATATGACTATAGTGGGAGTCCTGCTTGAATAGAATTGAGTCCTGAGTTTAATACTTTTAAGACTTATGTCCACCATGACTACTAGCTTTATGCTCCATGCTTTGTATACTCCCCTTCTAAAGCCACCCAACTATAGAGTGGAAATAAAGCAACCATCACAGTAAATGACACACATCTTGTAGAAAACAGTTTGACACCATTTAAGTTTCAACATTTAGCTTCACTGAATGATGCCACGCCATAGTATTACTGAAAGAAAAAGAAAATCTTACAATTTAATAACTGTAATTTTGTCATTTTATCATCTTTTTTCATATTTCCCATTTATTAACTTACTTCATCTCCTGGTAATTTTAATTGCTATTTGCTGCATGTCTTTCACCTTTGTGGCATGCTGGACTGTTCTGCTGAATTATAGTGAGTACAACTGAGGTTTCACAGCTTCTCCATATTGGCTGACATTTTAATTGCACTTCTCTGTGTTTATTTTTAAAATGTAAAAATGTATATCCTATCTTACAATGTACAGGCTCACAACTTAAATGTATTCTTCATGTTCTCATGAGCACTCCCTTGGTTACTAGCTCAAGTCCAATCAATATATATGTAATGATTTAAATATTTTGCCCCAGTAATGCTGATCAAAGTTTGGTTGAAACAGGCTGAAAAGATAACAAGAACAGGATGGACAAGCAAGGAGCAGAGCAAACGTAACAGCAGTTGCTTGCCTGATCACAAACAGTTGTTTATTAATAACAATAACTATTATTATTATTATTATTATTATTATTATTATTATTATTATTTCGATCCTGTTTTATCTCTCTAAAAAGAGAGTGAAAGCAGTGATTTGTTGCTCAAACAGACACATATACTACAAGAATTGGAACAACTAGGGACAATAGGAATCAACACAACTCTTCACATCACCATTAGGACACAAATGGTTTCCATGGTTCTTTCCATGGAAACCACTGGATGACTTCAAGTGGTCCAGAAGTCATTGTTTTCCAGAAAAACCTATAACAGATCACATCAAGCCTGGCAAAATTTGGAAAAAAACAACAACACGAAATATGCCTGGTCTGTATTGCTAGGAATTTACTGCATTATCACACAGCAGAAAGTCCTAGGGTTGTCCTTTTTGTCATTTACACAATCCTGAAACTAGCAACAGGTAATTGTCTCCCTTTTTCTTCCTCACTGTATGATCTACTCTGCTGCTGTCAGCACAGGGTACCTACAATGGTCAATAGCTCACACAGAGCTCTGTGTAGACTGGGAGTGATGATGGTGACATGGACAACATGGTGATAGTCCAGCAGGTCTGGTGCAGTCTCAATCCAGCAGAACCATGTAGACTTACACCTGCCAGCACTGCAAATTCAGGAGGATGTATGCAGCAACCTGTGGGGCCAGTGCGGAGAACTTCTGCTCCTTACTGGCCATTGAAGACTCACCTCGGGCTTCAAAAGCTTTTTCTACCACCTTCTTTCAGTTAGTCTCAATGGTGCTACAAAATCCCTTTGCATAGTTTACTGAGAGTTCTATTGTGATTGCACTACTAGGAAACCTTCTGAGCAAAAGACTTTCTGAGCAAACGACAACAACAACAACAACAACAACTTTATTCTTATACGCCACCACCAATCTCCCTGAAGGGACTCAGGGCAGCTTACATATGGGACAAAATGCCCACAAACACAAATACAAAACAATTCATCAAAGCAAAAACACAATTAAAATAAAGACATAGTTAAATATAACAATAAAAAAGCACAATTCAATAAAACTTAAGACTGAGTTTTAACAGCAACGTTAACACTCAATCAAAAAACACTCAACAAAACCAATTTCCAGTAGTACAATGAGTGTAACCAGGCTATAAAAGAGCCGGGGATGGGATAGTGCAAGCAGGGCTGGGTATTGTATGAAGTGCAAATAACAAAATATTATTAGGAAACCTAGGGAATGGGCATTCCCAAATGCAAACTGAGACATCCAGGTTTTCAAATCCCTGTAAGGAGAACAATGTGGGGGCTTGCCTGATCACTCCTGGGATCAAATTGATCTAATCAAAATGATCTAATTCATTATCAAAGGAGCTACCAGAGAGGTGGTCTAGCTTATTACTAAAAGATTTCCTAGGAATGGGGTTTGAACACAATTATAAATTTGTAAAACTGTATCTTTGTTCTGTGCTCTCATAAATAATCTTTTTTTTATTTAAATAATTTTGCATTCAGAAAAGCATACATATATATGCATATGGAGCCCCCGGTGGCACAGTGGGTTAAACCACTGAGCTGCTGAACTTGCTGATCGAAAGATCACCACTTGAATCCGGGGAGTGGGGTGAGCTCCTGCTGTTAGCCCCAGCTTCTGCCAACCTAGTAGTTTGAAAACATGCAAATGTGAATAGATCAATAGGTACTGCTCCAGCAGGAAGGTAACAGCACCCCATGCAGTCATGCTAGCCACATGACCTTGGAGATGTCTGCAGATAATGCTGGCTCTTTGGCTTAGAAATGGAGATGAGCACCAACCCCCAGAGTCAGACACGACTGGACTTAATGTCAGGTGAAAACCTTTGACTTTACCACACACACACATGTAGTTTGCACAAAAATAATAGAACATACAAACACACTTTTATATGGTCATGGTTCGAAACTACATGTCTACATGTAGCTTCCTACAACTACAAGCACTACAACTAAGTACCTATTAATATACAGATATTAATATACAGATTGTAAACACAAAAATAAACACACATATACAAAACTAACAGATAGAAAAATATTCTAAAGATATTGTTCCAAAATGCTTCTGATTTTAGTAAGATCTTCCATTTTCGGCCTACGTGTATTAATGTATAGCCATTAGGTCCTGTACTTGGAAATGTGCAATGAAAGATGTCTGCTTGCTATAATGATATGCAAACTAAAAATGTATATTTAATGTAACTTTTACATTACCTTCAGTACCAGAAAGATGAAACATAGATGTATTATTTGGAGAAGAGGAATGCATAATTCCTTCTGCAGAATTTAACATGCACCTAACATCAGTACTGAAAATGAAAAAAGGGAGAAATGAAAAATGCATTACTCACAGTTTAAATATTATCAGAAATTCTTAAGAGTTACTACAGCATATTTTAGAAGTTTAAGCCCAGAAAACTCAGCAATGAATATTACAAATCATGACATTCATTTACATCAGTACTATGTTAGGATTGGGTTGCAAGTACTAGAGATTCTAATTAACAATACTCTTCCAGAGTATTACTTCTATAACAAAAAAATGTGGTTGAAGAGAGAAAAATAACATGGAAAGGATAGGTTTTTACACTATAAAAGAGGAGATCAGTTTCACATTTTATGTAAAACTAATAATATACACACATGAAATGATAAAATCATGTCAGGTCAGCCTTGCATAACTTACAAAAAAAACCATTCTGAACCTACTAGAGACCAAATACTGTTTCCAAAATGCATTGGTGACCTTTTCTTCCACCAGCCTCCACCCTCTTTGTTTTCTTATGGTGTTCAGACTTATGAATCTATTCTTCTTTAATATGTTGGAGCTAGCTGGTATGTCAGGATTCAACTCAGTGGTGCAATAGTTTAAACCCTTGTGCCGGCAGGACTGCTGACCGAAACGTTGGCGGTTCAAATCCATGGAGCAGGATGAGATCCCGTCTGTCAGTTCTAGCTTCTCATGTGGGGACATGAAAGAAGCCTCCCACAGGATGGTAAAATATCTTGCCATCCCCTGGACACAATTCTCTAACACCAGTCGCTCCTGACATGAAAAAACAATCTGTTTCCCCCTCCTGTTCATGAACAGGATTCCGGAGGTAACTGCTGTTTAGCTTCACTGAGATAGGGAGGTGCACACAGCTACAGCAGGATCCCATTGCAGACATGACAATGAAAGGGTGTGCTTCTCTCTTCATTCACTATTGCCCTAATGCTGGTTGCTAAAAAGCTTTCTAGCTATAGTGTGGGTAAGGAAAAAATGGGGGCCGGGGGATGTAAAAAGGAATTTCTTTCTCAGAGGCTTTGTAAAGTGATGCATCCTATTTTTCACTACTGGTTTGCATGAAGCTTCCTGAAGAACCCCATATCTTAAGCACCAAGAAAGAAAATGAATTGTAGTTAATAGCAAGAGATGTCATAACCAACTCAAGTCAGTTTTGCTAAGTATGTACATACCTTGTTACTACCATATACCTTACACAGGAATGTCCAAAGTCCAGCCCAGGGGCCAATTGCAGCCCTGTTCAGATTTCCAACAGCTATTTCTCTCCAGGCCCCCCTCCCTTCCTTTATCCGCCCCGCCTTCGTCCTGAATTTTCCAAAAAGGCTTGCTTTTGCTGCAGCTCCTCCCTTGGAAAGGGAGCCCCCCTGCCACAATTAAAGCCCTCCTGCCAGATGACCATGCCACCTCTGCTGATAAACCACCAGAGAAGGAGACTCCAATATGCTCCGAGGCAGCATATACCACTGTCTGAAATGACTTGAAGGCAAACAACAACAATCTTAATTAACTTGACTTTGTCTTATCAGCCAAAAGCAGGCACACATTTCCCATTCGTTTTATATACTGTGTTATTCTTTCATATATTTTTTGCCCTACAAATAAGACATATGCAGTGTGCAATGCATTCTTTTTTTTTTCAAACTATAATCTGCCCCCCCCCCCAAAGAAAAATCAGGCTGAGGACCGTGAACTGGTCCTCAGCTTTAAAAGTTTGGTCACTAGTTTGGTCACTTTAAAGTAATTATGACAGATGTTTTATACATAAATAGCAACTTAAAAAATAACTGGTTCAATTATATTCAAAAATATGTCTCAAAAGTTAATAACTTACTTTTCTGACAAAGCCATGCATTTTTGAATGTGAAGACTTCCTTTAATGTGCTGATCCCAGTCCTAGGTAAAAATGTTGGAAAGAATATAAAATAGTGGAAACAACACAGGCAAATTAACAGTGTAGCCATTGATTCTGACACACATAGTAGCATCTCTTTACTTTTTAAGACTCCACATTAATCTATGAAGAAATAAAGGACTTTACATTCAGAAACATCTGATAACTAGAACAATGGATATCTAAAATTTAGTGTTTCACAAATTATGTAATCTTCCCCTACCTAAATTCTTGAGTTATGAAGGTCAATCTGCTAATACTCCTATCCAAGGTCCTCAAAAATCCATAAATGTCCAGAAACTTTCCAACTATTTTGCAGTGCTCTACTTTTCCAGAGAAATCTGAGGTCAACTTATTTTATTCCTTCACATATAAATTTGAAGCAGTCATCAAATGTGTTGCAGCTGGGAACAGAGTAGTGGTTCCAGAGATCAATAATTGCAATTATTACTCCTATTATATACAAGAATCTGGATTCTGCATGAGTGGAACTCTAAGATGACGGAGGGACACCATGCTATATATAGCATCATCACCACCACCACCATCATCATGTTTATACCCTACTTTCTCTCTTTAAAAGAAACTCAAAGCAGCTTTATCAGTAAAAACCACCCATATTATTAAATGAAAGCAATGTAGATGGTAACAGTTCAACCTTTGTGCTGGTCATGGACCATAATAAAGAGAGAACTTGTCCACACTCACATCATTGTTATTTGCTAATATGGGGTGCAAAATACTGCTGTTGTAATCTCAAAGTCTTTTAGATTATTGTATTTATCATTGCATCTACCAGAAATATACTATATTTAATGAACCATAATTCCAAATGCCAGAAGTAGCCTGCAATGCATTTCACACTTACCTTTATATCAAAGACTTTCTTATCACATAAAGTACAGATGTGTGGAAAGCAAAGAGGAGCTAAACAGTGAAAATCATTTAGCTCATGAGACTGAAGAGGTCTCACTGACAAATCAGGCGTAAGTGGTTCCTGCTGCTGTCTCATTCGTGAGTTATTGAAATTCTGCTTATTGTTTGTGGCTCTACTGAAAACAAGTGGTGTACCAGTATTAAATTTTGTATCAGACGTTGGTTCTTCAGGATTGTAGAGATCATTGCGCATTTCATATGGGACACTTGTTGATGGCCACATGCTGGCACTGGGCATGATGTCAGGTTTATTTTGGCTAGAGAAAGTAGAAGGATTTCCCCACTGATTATTTGTTTCTGTTTCATGAATTACAGGTCCTGCTTCACTCTTTTGAGTTATGATCTGATGAGAATTATGCGGGTCACCAGAAAACGTCAAAGATTGTATACCAGTTGTATGTTGTCCTTTAGAAGCATAAAAATCTTTCTGAAATCCTAGCGGGTTGTCATGTTTACCAAAATGACCATCATATGTTCCACCTCCAGAGGATGTTGAGACTGAATGGGGCCCACTGGTTGCAAAGCTGTGTTGGCCACACTGTTCAGCATCAGAAGGAAATACTTGTTTACCATAGTCATAAAATCCACCTGTAGCAGAGGAGATGCCAGTTTTATTCAGACCCATAACTACAGCCTGTTGTCCAGCTGTCTGAGATATTACACCCCCAAATGGATTTATGACCACAGTATTTGGGTTCTGATTTTGAAGGTTACCTACAGGTCCCAAGGTTACAGCTGGTGCTGCCAAAGTGGGGTTCTGTGTTGGGAAATGTAATCCGCCAGGTGGAAATCGAGTGCTGGTAACTCCAGGCCCTCCAGCATGCCCCTGGGAGGTGTTAAACATGGAAGGGTGTCTTAATTGGTTGAATAGTGGCTGAGACATGGCCACTTTGGAAAGAACTTGATTCAGGACCGTTGCAGCTGCTGTGTTGTTAGTGACTGCTGTCTGAGCCAATTTTAGCCTGTGTAGAGTAAGCTGGGCTTGCAATTGAGCAAGCTGAAGATTTGCTGGAGAAGGAAGCAGTGGATTTGGGGTGCTGACAGTAAATATATTCTTGTCCAGAAGTTTGGCAGCGCTGAAAAACAACAGATGATAGTTTAAGTTTTAATTAATATTTAACAGCAGATCTTGGCCATCAAATCATGACTAAGTGGTATGATGCTACCCTAGTACCTATCCTTGCTAAACCCTTGGAAGGAAGGAAAGTGATTTATGACACACAGTTAACCCAGCCCATCCTGTAATGTGTTTGGAACTATATTCATTTCAGTTATGATGCTGAAAGCAGATCAGTATTTCAAAGATTAAAAAAGGAGCTTATGTTCATTTGGGACGCAAGCCAAAAACCTATCTAAAGGTCACTGAAAGGACTTCATTAATCCACTGAGCTTTGCTTTGAGCTTTTTACAAAACAATTAAAGAACAGCACTCTCCTGATATAAAAGAAAGTAAGGAAAAAGCAGTTTGTCAGATATAAAATAAGTCATATTGACCTGCATAATTATACCTTTTTTTGTAATAAATAGGCATTTACACATACAAAATGCGCTTCTGGGATTTGAAAGACTTTTATAAGAACTGCTGAATTGCAATTCAAGAGACAATAACCCCAGGCAATGCATTTTGGCAATTTTTACAGTCATTACACATTAAACTACTGTAATGGACATTACATATGTTACTGATCACATGGACGTGAGAGGATGACTCCTCTCTTTCAATACAATACAATTCTCACCAGATGCAAGAGAGTGGCTATGCTTCTAATACCATTCTCTAACAGAGTAACTATCAGTAGAAAAAAAGCTGAGGAAAATGCATCTGCTATAACCAGGGGGTGGTTGGAATGTCATTTGCTTAGAAAGAACAATTTGTTTATTTAAGATATTTCTATATTGTTGCCTAGCCCACAGATGACGTAATAAAAACAATTAAACAACACAAAGATAAAATATTTTAAAAACTTATTCAAATGTTCTCCAAAATATTTGAAACAAGTCTAAAAAGAATAATGAAATGTAATTTTAAAACAGTTAAAACAGAGAATACCACACTCTTTTGGCTGCCCACTAGAAGCTTAAAATTGATGGAGCCAGCTTAACACATTCATGATACCAATTTGGAGTACATGTATGTGTATGCTGATGGTCCCAATGTGTGAGTATGTGTTGGCTCTTTCCAGCCTCCCGGTACACTTACTCACGTCATACTAACAACATTACCTGGGTATCTATGCACACAGATTGGTCCCATTTAAATTAGTGCCACTTGTTTACAGTAAGATTAACTGACAAGGGGATCTATTGCAGGGATTGTACTGGATCCTGATATCCATAATTGGATTGGAACAATAACAGATTAATGAAGATCAGAAGACAACTAAAATGGGGAACACAACCGCTGCAATTACCTAATTTTAAATTTAATTGGGATTTGTATTCATAAAATGTAGCTTTCGATAAATTCACTACATCTTTACTTCCACATTTTATATAATTTACAGAACGTCATGCTTCCATTCTTAAAATAAATTTTAGACGCTGATGTCATATAATTCATGAAGCCAATTTGACATGTTTTAGAAGTAAGATCTGACACCAGCTGAAAAAATAATAAAACAGACAAAAATCATGCTTTATAATTGAAATAAAATTAGATAATTCTAAATTGAATGGATGTACTTTATGGTGATTTCAAGCAACACTTTTATGAGCACTATGTCCTATTGTTTAAATGAAACCAATTAGATACAGAGGAATGTCTGCAGGTGCTTCTCATATTTCTTTTTCTTTTTTCCCATATAATTTTATTGCAAATATATGAAAGCCCTAACTAAGGCTTCCTACTTTATCTCTTCTGCTCAATTCATAACAAAAAATCTAATGCCTTAAAACTTATTGTTGGTAGATCAACTTTCCAGGATCCCTTGGATACTACTGAGGATCCTATTATTTTTGTCACTGACTTCTCTATTTCTCCTTTTCTTGTTATTCCTACATCGCTGTACTACTAATTTTCCCTTGGTTCAATAGAAAACCCAATATTTTCATTTTCTTTTCTTCTTTTAAATAGTCAATAAAAGGCTGCCATTCTTCTTCAAATTTGAAAGTATCTGGTAATTGAATAAGCCTAGTCAATTTGTCCATCTTCAAATCTGGGATGATATGGCAATTGTATAAACCTGATTTGTTCATTTCTGCCAGATCCATCATTTTTGTAATCTATAAATCTTGAGTGGGGATTTCTTTTTGTTTCCAGTAACTGCAAATAAATGAAAAGTGCTTCTCCTCTTGTTTGGCTAATTTAATCCATTTATATTTAAAGAAAGTATTTTTAGGAACCTCATTTTTGAAATAGAATGTGGAGTTGCCGGTTGCTGTAGTTGAATGTCTTCTTTATCCAGTTTCTATTGAGGTTGCCACCTCTTCTGGCCTTCTTGGATATTCTCTTTTTCCTTGGTCTCCTGACCTTGCCTCTCTCTCTGAATCTAGGTCTTTTTTAAATTTCTCATAGCAATCCTGGGCCTTCATGATTGATGCAAACCGTTGTCCCTAATAAGATACTATCAGTCCTTTTTCCCATCTGAATCTGTAGCCTTTAAGTTTATATGTCAGGAAAAAGTACTTTCTCCTTTTCTTTATTGTCTGAAATGGAAGTTTTCTTAATACTGCAATCCTGGTATTTCCTATTTCAATCAGATCAAGGTGTGGGCTTGCAAAAGTTGGTCTCATACTTCCTTTCTTGTAAACAATCCAATCACATCTCTTGGAAGTTTATTCCTTATTGTGTATTGGATCCTAAAGATCCTGTCAATTTGAGTCTCAACCACTTGCTCTGGTCTACTAAGGATTCTAGCCACAACTTCTGTTACTGTGGTATCAAGTTCCTGTACAGATTCCAGTATTCCTCTCAACCTTAAAAGGTATTCTCTTTGCATGTACTCTAATCTTTGCAGTTCGAATGAATCTCTTTGGAAATCCATTTGCATCTTCTTTTGTACCTCTTCAGTTACCTTTATTTTCTGTTTTTGCTGTTCATGCTACTTCAAAATACCACTAATTGTATCTACCATCTGCTACATATCTTTCTTCATCTCTTGCTGCCCTTTATCTAAATAATCTTCGGACTTTGTAATTCTCTTGTCAATCCTGGCCTCCAAATTTGTCATTCCATCTGTAATGGTTCTTAATTGAGTCATTGGATCTTCTTCTTGTGGAAGAGATCCTTTCTCAAAAGCTTCTTTCCAATCCTTGAATCTTGGTCTTATTGCCATTGCAATAATTTCTGTAATCAAACTGTCTTTTAAAAAATGACTAATTTTCAAAGATTTGTTGTAGTTCCTATTTTGGCCACTTGTAGTATGCTGTTGCTTATATCCCTTTAAGTTGTTTCCCTGTTTTCTGTATTTCAAGCCGCATCGTTTTAATCTCTATGGTTTATCTCTATGGCCACTTCCTGTATTATTTGTTGTTTGGACTCAGTCCAGAGGCTGCTTTTCATATTTCCAATATTTTTTGTCAAATATACACTATTAGTTGGCTGTACTGTCTTTTGCAACACATAATCAGCATACTTCAAATGGTTGCTAACTAGTTCCAAAATTATCTTGAGCATTTACAATATGAAATGTATATTATTATTTAAGGATCTTGAGCCAAATGGTCATATATACTGTAGTTTCGAAAATACAGTTAAGAGTTACTTTGTCATCTGGCTAGGTGACCAGTAGGGACAATAATCATGTAATAAAGTTTAAAATAATTATGCTCTGAAGTTGTTTTTTAGATAAAAAATATCAGGCAAAAAAAAACCCCTTCAAATTTGATCTGAGGATGTAAAGAACAAGGAAGTAAAATAGAAAAAGTGAGCATAATTTGAGCTCTAAAAGAAATTTCTAATTAAAGGATAAATTTCAGTCTTGCCTGTAGTTTGTAGAACTAGATTTGAAAAAAAAATTATTTTAGAGAAATTATGAGAACTTTCTTGTGCCTGTCATTGAAACTGGTTTTTAAAGTTTGATTTCCTTAGGTTTACAAAAGGTGAGCCATAGAAAAACTTCCTCTTATAATACATTATCTACTTACTTCAATTCACGGAAACTACAAGCAGCCCTCTCTAGATGTGGAGTATGGCCCTAATCATTACGTACCTAACTCTAGTGCTTCAGCATATGAGATGTGGCTGGAACCTCCTGAGCATGTTATCATTCCTACTAAAGAATTAGCCACACTCACGCCTAATTATATATACTGTGAAAGACAGACTGTGTAGTTGGCATCTGGAATATTATATTTTGCATGTTGTTATGTGGGTGTCAGAACAATTTCAGCTATTGTTTTACGCCTCATACAGATTCCACTAACCATTCTAAATGTCCTTCAGGCTACAAAACCAAAAGTGTGTGAGTGAACATGACCTAATAAGGATGTTTTAATTAGCTTTGCATTCTTTACAATCTGAGGAGAGAAAATAATTTTCTAACGTTTAATTCAACAAGATAAAAGACCATATGTTAGTAAGCATAGCCTAGAATAGTTCAGCAGCTGCTGTGAAACTGTAAAACATCCAACTATCTGCTAGACACACCGAATGGTCACTGGAGAGATATAGTAAAATCATTCATCCCCTCTGGGTGCTGACATAGTAGTCGTGAATGCACCAGGAGTTTTCCACACCATAAATAAATAGACCACTTAATCTGAGAGGTTCTGTTCATGAAGACTTAATTTTTGCAATACAAAGCTCCATTACAGGAGTGATTTGAACAATTCATAGCAATGGCAACAACTCACAGAGATAGGACTTCTGCATTTTGTATAAGATTAGGTATACGGTATCTCCCTTCATTAAAATTCCTGGTCTTGATTTCTTTCTCTCAGTCCTTTTTATGGGAATGAATGTGTTTCATCAGACTGATGCTACAGAAAACTAAGAGAGACAAAATAATGTTCTTTATTTTCTTAATGCTGATGTTTTTCATGGGTTTTTTTTGTGCTATTGTTGCTTTTTGATCCTCAAACAGGTCAAATCAATCAAACTGCTGACATGATGGAAAAGAATGAAATAAAGGATAAT